AAGAATTATAAATACAGAAATACATCTGTATATGACTTAATTGCTGATCAAAACTGGTATGAAGGTATTTAAAATAATAGAATAAATAAATCTAAATTCTATTCAATCATTTAATTGGTGCTTGTGTTCAACATTAGTGGTTAAGATTTGATACACATGATAAACATTGCAATAACCTTTTCCCAAAAATTATCAATTAATTGGTATAAAAATCAGGAATAATATTATCAAAAGTTAATAAATAAAGTTCAATAATTCAATGTTCTTTACATTGTACATAAATATATGTTTAATTTTGAATTCAATTTGTGTACAATTTGTGAATATATTGTTGTTTTTAATTATCTATATTTGTCCTAATTATCTATGTTTATGTAATTAATTAAAATTAATTTATAATTATAATATTAATATAAATCTAACTGTATGTGTTACTTTGACTAAAATACAAATATTGCAAAACATTAATTGTACCTAATATTTACTGAGGATATAAAAACAGTAAAACTACAATAAGGTATAAATTAAACCTAATGATAAATAGATTTATTAATTACTTAATAGTAGAAATGTCATTTTTGATACTATTATTTTCAAAGCTGGTTTTATTTAATAAAACATTCTTGTGTTTATAAATTTTGTTAAATAGTCGTAAAAATATTAATAAACTGTTAATTATAATGTCACCATTTTTGTTTATTCTGTTTACAATGAAGTTTGTATACATTTACATAAGAACTTACAAATTTATTCAATAAAAATAATTTTATAATTAAGCATAACATTATCATAATGTGTGTATTATAATTGATATATGGCAATTCAACAGTAATTTACCATTCATGTTGTGAGGGTTAAAATAGTATTTAGATTTACAATAATTAAATTTCTTATTATTAAAGTATAATTAAAAATTTTAAAAATTTGCAATATTTTTATTATTTAAATAATTAAATTACATAGTATTTGTCTGAATAAGAATAACAGAATATGATAAAATTAACCCAATTAATGACATTAATGTTTTGATATCTATGCGATATATACCGAGTGCTGTGAATCCCATTTCATTTCTTATAAAATTTAAAGCAAATATAATTGAATTGTCATTAAACTGAATATTGGTTTCTCTTTCTGAGGATTGAATAACTATTTTATTAATTAATTGATCCAAAGATTTAGGAATAATATTACAAATAATAGTCAGAAATAAAAGTGATAATATATTTTCAATAAAAACCCCACAAGAAACTGATTTAGTACCTGAAGGTCCTATTGATAGCATACATAACAATGAAATGCATTTCAATGTATTAAATACTAGTGATATAAAAATATTTAAAGACATACAACTATCGAGTGATTTAATAAAACAGTGAGTTTTGATCACAAAATGATTCACAAACTTCATATCCAAATGAGACAAATTGTTTGCAATGTATTTGAATTGTTGCAAAACAATACAACTCTGGTATGCAATCAATGATATAAAACTAATTTGAATATTAATTGAAATAAAATAAGTAATCGGCGGAACTATTATACTGTAAAAATTAGATGAATATACTTTTGAAATAATAATTGTGTGAAAAATTAAAAATAGTGCCGACACTATAAAAGTAAAAATAAATGCAATAAAAGTGGTGTAAAACCCAACTTTGCGTTCATATCTATCGTCGATATAAACAAATGATTGACTTTTCATTAGATTTAAGATTTGTTTCCTCTTCACAGCCATAATAATAGATATGATAATAGTCTGTATAATATAGCAAAACTCTTCTGCCGTAAAAATGATCATCATTAACTTGTTTTTGGTAAAGTTAATACCAAACGATTCGCTGGTATTTATAAAGTAAATTTTCAATTCGTAATAATATTGATAATACACTACAATTATTATTATAAAATTCCACAGAATATGCATTAATTTCTGGATTAGTCTTTCATTTTCATTGAAACCATAGCTTAGAAATATATTTCCACAGATTTTATGATAATTTATTAATAATCCCAAACCTCTTAACAAAGGTTTACTCATTTTGAAAATAATTTTTTACTAATTTCCTACCAGTTTTGATCAGCAATTAAGTCATATACAGATGTATTTCTGTATTTATAATTCTTGTTATAAAAATTTCTTATAACTTATTTCATTTACAAATAAACCCAATTGTATTGTTAAATGTTAATATTGATATACTGTAAATAACTGTTATTATTTATATTGTATAAAAAAGTCATTATTTTGATTAAATATTTTTCTCATGACAATAAAAACTAACGTAAAAATGAGTTATTTAACACATAACTTGATTAATTAAAATATTACACATTTAACTAAAATCTATTGATTATTTGTATAATAAAATCAAAATGTTTTGCTTTACATTAATTTTTATTAAGATATAAAAATAACTAAATGTATTTTAAGAATTAGTTCTTTTTGTAATAGTTAAAATTACAATTATTGCTACTTTATACAAATTATTAATATACAAACTAAATTTTTTGTTTATTATTAAAATTATATATTTATACAGTGTATAGTGGGCACTAATCTACAGTACATTAGGCTTTAATTATAGAAAGCGTATTAATAAGTACTTATAAAGAGTATTTACAATAAATAAAATTACAATAAAATGCCAAGTATTTTAACTTTCATGTATTTTGTTTAACAGAATATAATTTAATTAATTTTATTTTGAAAAGTCATGTCTCGAGAAGTGACGGCATTCTCTCCCACAACGATATCAATACAATCGCTAACATTAATGAAACCGTCGGATAAATGAGAGAATATTACTCCACAACTCGGACCCAAACCCTTCTTCTTTGTCACTCCCGTCGGCGCACGAAATCTTGGGATCAAATCAAATATTGTTAGAGAGAGAGAGAGAGAGAGAGAGAGAGAGAGAGATTCACAAAATAATCATAACATGCATTTTACATACGTTTTCAACGCCACTAAAGTCTCCAAATTTTTAACACCGGTTTCAGTGTTGACTGTTGTGGACGGACACCGATCGCAGTTCATTAATTGCATAAATTTGAGCTTGTTGATTCGCATCCATAGCCACTTGTCTTCAGCCCAGGGCTGCGGGTAATCGACCAAAACGTTTGGCCGGAAATTCTCATAAGTCACGTGATCGGCGCCTTCTGTGAAGCGTGAGTTGAGATCACGCACTGAACTCTCATTAATCAAATGAAGACCCGATTTGTTTTGATAGATAATGGGATAGAGTTTGTCATCGGATCTCCTTTGGTCCGAATTGGTGTCTCTGTAGTCAAGACTCGGGTGATGTTGTATTAGACGTATACCCGGTTTACCCAGAAATGTTTGAAACCAATCATTTGCCTCATCGCTGCAAACAATGCCTTTTATGTGCTGTCCGTACACTCTGTTAACATAAGATTATAATTTATATCAATTATAGTTATTGAAGTGTTTAGACATTTTGTGCCGCACATACATTATTTTAATGTTTGCGGTATACATTTAGTTAAATTACCTAGTAGATATTAGATTGTGATTGCTGTTAATTTGTTCAATGTATCTAAGTTTAAGAGTTGGCATATCGGGCGCGTCCACCCATATCTCATCGCTTTCAATGCGGGTGCGGGTGAGCGCAAGTCTCGGCTCGTGTTTAATGCCAATCCAGCGATTGGACTCGTTTAATAGAATCCACGATCTTTACATACAATTAAATTGAGTTTAATCATTTTGAAGTAATACAAAATAATCATTAATCAACTCTCTCTCTCTAACTATATTTGATTTGATCCCAAGATTTCGTGCGCCGACTGGAGTGTCAAAGAAGAAGGGTTTGGGTCCGACTTGTGGAGGAATTTTTTCATAAAATAATCATAACTTTTACATACGTTTTCAACGCCACTAAAGTCTCCATATTTTTAATACCGGTTTCGGTGTTAACAGTTGTAACGGGACAACGATTGCAGTTCATTAGTTGCATAAATTTAATTTTGTTGATTCGCATCCACAGCCACTTGTCTTCAGCCCAGGGGTGCGGGTAATCGACCAAAACGTTTGGCCGGAAATTCTCATAAGTCACGTGATCGGCGCCTTCTGTGAAACGTGAGTTGAGATCACGCACTGAACTCTCGTTAATCAAATGGAGACCCGATTTGTTTTGATAGATAATGGGATAAAGTTTGTCATCAGATCTCCTTTGGTCTGAATTGGTGTCTCTGTAGTCAAGGCTCGGGTGATGTTGTATTAGACGTATACCCGGTTTACCCAGAAATGTTTGAAACCAATCATTTGCCTCATCGCTGCAAACTATGCCCTTTAGGTTCTGTCCGTACAGTCTGTTAACATAAAATTATAATTAATGTCAATAATAGTTATTTAAGTGTGGGGCACATATTATACATGTATACTTTATTATATTAATGTTTGCGGTATATGTTTAGATAAATTACCTAGTAGATATTAGATTGTGATTGCTGTCAATTTGTTCAATGTATCTAAGTTTAAGGGTTGGCATATCGGGCGCGTCCACCCATAGCTCATCGTTTTCAATGCGGGTGCGGGTGAGCGCAAGTCTCGGCTCGTCTTTAAGGCCAATAAATCGATTGAACTCGTTCAATATAATCCACGATCTTTACATTTAAATTAAGGTTGATCATTTTGAGAAGTTAATACAAAATAATCATCAATCAACTGTCTCTCTCTCTCTCTCTCTCTCTCTCTCTCTCTCTCTCTCTCTCTCTCTCTCTCTCTCTCTCNAGTTTATCATGTGTATAAATGTACCACTAATGTTGAACATAAGCACCAATTCAATGAGTGAATAGAATTTAGATTTATATATTCTAACTTTATTATTCTAAATTCTCTCTCTCTCTCTCTCTCTCTCTCTCTCTTTGACCTGTCTTTGAAAACTCCATATTTAACACCATATTTAGTAATCTCCAGACAATTCACTTCAACCCCTTTCACGGCTTTAATCGGATATATAAACAGTTTTTTCACTTCACAAACGGGTAGAAAGATTTGACGAGTTTTTCTATACAAATAATATATTATGGATGTAGTGGTCAACACCGATAGACCCACAATCAACGGCACCGGTAGTTGAGTAGTGGATATCATTTGTATTGATGTTTTAAATCACAACTATTAATATAATAGTATAATAATGTTAGTTTTAAAAACTTTTCAATACTACTTATATTAGGATTGAAAACTGATAACTCAAATCTGATAACTGTTTTTAACTAATCGTATTAAATGTTGCAAATATTTTGTCTATAAACACATGATTAAATATCCATAATTTATAAGTTCAATCTTGTGACATTTTTAATGGGTGAGCATAAGTCTTTCTGCTAATTACTTTGTGTTAATCAGTAGGTTTTTTTAGTGTCTAAATTAGCTATATTGACATTTTATGCCAATGCAATTAGTTAAATGAATTCTATAAACAATGTTTCTAAATATTCTCTATTTATAAAGTAATTGCAGTGCAAATACAAAACTATGTTTGACATGTGTCTAAATTAGCTATATTGACATTTTATGCCAATGCAATTAGTTAAATGAATTCTATAAACAATGTTTCTAAATATTCTCTATTTATAAAGTAATTGCAGTGCAAATACAAAACTATGTTTGACATCAGAATTAGTTTTTCTGTACCATTCAGTTATACAATTTAACTCGTTGTATTATTATTATAGTAAACATAAAAAGTTAGTATTATCTAATATCTTAGATTTTATATAACCTTGGTTGGTGCGGCTTATCTATAGACTGTATGTTACATACAGTGTGTAACATACCGTTATTTAACGTCCAAAAAAGTATAAGATGTTTAATGCATTTTAAGTGTTTGAAAGCAATTATACTAAACAATCTACTGTATATTTATTTAGTGCTTTAAATCAACTTGTTATAAAATATTTTTGTCTAGAAACTATTTTATTTTAATCAATCATTTCGGTTCGCCCAACACAAAGTAATTAGCAGAAAGACTTATGCTCACCCATTAAAAATGTCACAAGATTGAACTTATAAATTATGGATATTTAATCATGTGTTTATAGACAAAATATTTGCAACATTTAATACGATTAG